AGAGAATAGGAAGGGAAAAACCTTGGGATAGAGCAGTTCAAAGGACCCCCATTGTGGGGACTGACAGGGAACACAGCAAATAAGACCCTTTCCTTCCTAGCGAGGACTTTCCACACAGTGTGGAGACCAGCACAATGATTTCACCTGGAACTTGTAGAAATGCAGACTTTCCTTCTACCCCAAACCTACCAGAATCTGGACTTAACAACATCACCTTGATGCTTGAGCTGCCCTGAACTGGATGACTTGGAGTTAGCGAGCCTCTCTGAGCCTTCCTTCTGAGTCTGTTTCCTTAATTGAGAAGCATGCATAGTTTTTAGCACAGAGCCTGGTTCAATAAATGGTAACTGATAATGATGATATTACTATTGTTATTAATTTATCAAGTGGCTTATAGACAACATAGTAGGGGGGAAATTTATTGACTGGGAGAGAAGGGGCACCCCATGACTGATCTACAGGGTTCAAGGGGGGGGGTCTGGCTTTCTGGATTTGAACTAGAGTGACAAGAGGAGCTAATACAAATAATGAGGCAGCAGAGAGGGTGTGTATGTGTGTATTGAACTCCTGGCAAACCACAGCACACCTCCAGGGGACAGGAGTAAATAAAAGTCTCCTTCACGCCCCTGCACAGCATAGGTCAGCTTTGGTAGGCTGGTGCCAGCCCAGTCCTGGCCAGAGATAGATGCGTGGCTCTGGGGGTTCATGGCTTCCCACTCTTAGCCTGGCCTGAGACACAAGGTCAGGGGCCCTGGGAATAGGCAAATCACCTAGGGACCACTACGGTGCTCTTGATAAGAAGCTGACCACATTCCTTCCACATTTACTTAGAACTTCATGTGTGCCATTCGGGGAGTCCTAGGGGGAAACAACAGCCAAGCTTCAGGTGGGGAAGGAAATTCCAGGACTCTCAAATCTTCCTGTATAAAAGGATTAACCAGGAACTGGTAGAAAAAAAAAAAACAAAAAACCCAGAGCTTGGGTCCTAGCCCAGCAATTCTGACTTCCTGTGCCTGAGGTGGGACTCTAGGAATCTGCATTTTGAATGTTTTCCTAGGTAGTTATATATGGACCAACAAGGTGGAAAAGAGAGTCCCCTAGCAAACATGGGCACACCATTGCTGTAGTGGGGTGCAGTGGCAGCTCAATTAATTCCTGAGTGACTGGAAGCTTTGTCTCAGCAACAGCCCTAGTCCCTTATCTTGGGATTTGCAGAGATCTACATCTCTGTGCATTAAAAAAAACAATTTATGGCTTTTTAAGACCCTCAGTTGGGCTGGGAGGGGGCAGAAGGTTTAATTAGGATTGCAGATGCT